GTCACATGATCTTCAGAAATCATTCTAATATGCTGATTTATTATTAGAATTATCAACAGTTGTGCTGCACAAATATTTTTTTGGAAACTGCGATACTTTTTCAGGATTCTTTGATGAATAAAAAGTTAAAAACAAACAGCATTTATTCAAAATATAAATCTTTTCTAGCAATATAAATCTTTGCTATCACTTCTTATCAATTTAACACATCCTTGCTGAATAAAAGTTTGAATTTCTTTCAAAAAAAGAAAGAATAAAAATGTACAGACCCCAAACTTTTTGAACTGTAGTGTATATTGTTGGAAAAGATTTCTATTTTAAATAAATGCTCTTCTTTTTAACTTTTTATTCATCAAAGAATCCTGAAAAAAAGTATCACGGGTTCCAAAAAAGCACTGATAATAAATCAGCATATTATACTGATTTCTGAAGATCATGTGACACTGAAGACTGGAGTAATGATGCTGAAAATACAGCTGCGCATCACAGAAATACATTACAGTTTAATGTATATTAAAATAGAAAAACTTTATTTTACATCATAATAATATTTCACAATATTACATTTTTTCCTGTATTTCTGATCAAATAAATGCAGCCTTGATGAGCTTCGTTCTGAACCCAAACTTTTGACCGGTAGTGTACATATAAATCAGTTACTGTTATCTTACTAACCATGCGCTCTTTTAATATTTTTTCTTTTAATTTTAGGTTTTTAGCTGTATACAGTATACATGTTTTTGTTAAATTGCAATATATATAATATTATTATATGTATGATTAATATTATTGTTTTGTTGGTTAGTTTTTCTTCTTTACTCTCATTGTTTTGATTTTTGTGTAACGCTGAAAATGTATCTTCAAAAAACATTAACATTTTTTTTTTTAAATGCATGTACTTTTTCAAATTTAATCAAGATGTGAGATTAAACATGTGTAAGGGGAAGCATTTGAAGGTGCTGTAATTAGTCTTTCTGTAATGTAATAGTGAGATGGCCCCGCGGTGTGATAAATGAGTGTTTGCGCTCCTCACCAGTTGGGTTCGCAGGTGGTGCCGATCTTGCTGACGGTGTAGCTGCTCCAGCCCAGGACAGGAGGAATGGTCCAGATGAAGGAGAAGGTCCAGACAAACAGCAGACCCAGAGCCGCGTGTTTTCCTCGCAGACGGATGTTCCCCAGCGGCCGACAGATGACGAAGAACCGCTCGAACGCCAAGACGGCCAGAGACCACAGAGCCACGATGCCTGCAGATTCAGACAGAGACCGATGAACATCTCTCCAAAACACCTGAGAAGACTGAACCATGTCCTCCAGACACTTCAGCGCCAGAAGCCTCGTCAAATACATTCATTGCATGAGTTCTGCGTCTTTTTAAGATGTGCTTTAACTAATATTTATTCTGAAAACCAGGTGGTGAATTTTCACAGGTCTGCACTTTCACAAAAATGTTCCATGAACTTTGCATCATCGACTGAGCTGACTCTATTGTCTTCTGTAGAGTTGCCTTTCAGCTGTATTTTCATCATTTATTCATTTTGCAACATAGATAGTTATTTAACTGAATTGCATTAGCATTGAACTGAATTCAGCTGAGTAATAATGCCTCTATTGTTTTCTGTAGGGCTGCTTTATACTGTAGCCGAATCGAATTTATTTCATAATTGATTGTTTTGCAACTTTTTGCAATTTTCCTGTTTTAGCTGCTTTGAAATAATCTGCATTGTATATAGAGCTGTAGAAATAAATGTGACTTGACGATGCACTCCAGTTCATTCTGAAAAATACATGCAACTCATAAAACAAAGTGAACAATGCATTAAAAATGAAACTACATTCACCTTGTCTCGTTAAGATTGTGGTGCATATTCTGATAAATGGTGCATTTATTTTAATATATTCCATATTAACATTTTAAGTCTATGCAGATTTACCCTGAACTATTTATCTCAAGATCTGAGACTAAATAAAATATTGAAACTTGTCAGTCCACAACTCCTTTAATGCACTAGTCTTGACAGATCATTAAATTTGCATTTAGTGCATAAAAAAGTATAAAAGACTCGGCTGAGCTTCGTATGATAACATTAAATTAAATTAAATTAAATTACAGACCCCAAACTTTTTGAACTGTAGTGTATATTGTTGGAAAAGATTTCTATTTTAAATAAATGCTCTTCTTTTTAACTTTTTATTCATCAAAGAATCCTGAAAAAAAGTATCACGGGTTCCAAAAAAGCACTGATAATAAATCAGCATATTATACTGATTTCTGAAGATCATGTGACACTGAAGACTGGAGTAATGATGCTGAAAATACAGCTGCGCATCACAGAAATACATTACAGTTTAATGTATATTAAAATAGAAAAACTTTATTTTACATCATAATAATATTTCACAATATTACATTTTTTCCTGTATTTCTGATCAAATAAATGCAGCCTTGATGAGCTTCGTTCTGAACCCAAACTTTTGACCGGTAGTGTACATATAAATCAGTTACTGTTATCTTACTAACCATGCGCTCTTTTAATATTTTTTCTTTTAATTTTAGGTTTTTAGCTGTATACAGTATACATGTTTTTGTTAAATTGCAATATATATAATATTATTATATGTATGATTAATATTATTGTTTTGTTGGTTAGTTTTTCTTCTTTACTCTCATTGTTTTGATTTTTGTGTAACGCTGAAAATGTATCTTCAAAAAACATTAACATTTTTTTTTTTAAATGCATGTACTTTTTCAAATTTAATCAAGATGTGAGATTAAACATGTGTAAGGGGAAGCATTTGAAGGTGCTGTAATTAGTCTTTCTGTAATGTAATAGTGAGATGGCCCCGCGGTGTGATAAATGAGTGTTTGCGCTCCTCACCAGTTGGGTTCGCAGGTGGTGCCGATCTTGCTGACGGTGTAGCTGCTCCAGCCCAGGACAGGAGGAATGGTCCAGATGAAGGAGAAGGTCCAGACAAACAGCAGACCCAGAGCCGCGTGTTTTCCTCGCAGACGGATGTTCCCCAGCGGCCGACAGATGACGAAGAACCGCTCGAACGCCAAGACGGCCAGAGACCACAGAGCCACGATGCCTGCAGATTCAGACAGAGACCGATGAACATCTCTCCAAAACACCTGAGAAGACTGAACCATGTCCTCCAGACACTTCAGCGCCAGAAGCCTCGTCAAATACATTCATTGCATGAGTTCTGCGTCTTTTTAAGATGTGCTTTAACTAATATTTATTCTGAAAACCAGGTGGTGAATTTTCACAGGTCTGCACTTTCACAAAAATGTTCCATGAACTTTGCATCATCGACTGAGCTGACTCTATTGTCTTCTGTAGAGTTGCCTTTCAGCTGTATTTTCATCATTTATTCATTTTGCAACATAGATAGTTATTTAACTGAATTGCATTAGCATTGAACTGAATTCAGCTGAGTAATAATGCCTCTATTGTTTTCTGTAGGGCTGCTTTATACTGTAGCCGAATCGAATTTATTTCATAATTGATTGTTTTGCAACTTTTTGCAATTTTCCTGTTTTAGCTGCTTTGAAATAATCTGCATTGTATATAGAGCTGTAGAAATAAATGTGACTTGACGATGCACTCCAGTTCATTCTGAAAAATACATGCAACTCATAAAACAAAGTGAACAATGCATTAAAAATGAAACTACATTCACCTTGTCTCGTTAAGATTGTGGTGCATATTCTGATAAATGGTGCATTTATTTTAATATATTCCATATTAACATTTTAAGTCTATGCAGATTTACCCTGAACTATTTATCTCAAGATCTGAGACTAAATAAAATATTGAAACTTGTCAGTCCACAACTCCTTTAATGCACTAGTCTTGACAGATCATTACATTTGCATTTAGTGCATAAAAAAGTATAAAAGACTCGGCTGAGCTTCGTATGATAACATTAAATTAAATTAAATTAAATTAAATTAAATTAAATTAAATTAAATAAATGTTACTACTACTAATAATAATAATAAATATTAATAGTAATAATAAATATTAAATTTTAAAATTCACCTGATTTTCCCATCAGTTATTTTCAATAATGTTCCTCTGATCTAATTAAATGCCTTTAGACAGATACTGAAGTTTTAACTCTGTGTTGTATCATTAAGTAGACATGCACTTTTTTAAATGTATGTAACTATTAATAATAATTAGCAATATTTTTTGCTTTTGTTGGTGTCATTTTAACACTGAAAAACTGTGGAAAAGACTAAGAAAATAAATAAAAACATAACTGGCATGAGTGAAATTTTAGAGTATATGTGGGTCAAAGATGTTAATATGTCCGCATCAAAAGAAATTTACAAAAGTGTCCATAGAAAGCACATTAAATGTAAGTAAAGTGTCTACTTTTAAGGTTTCAAATAAGTTTTTGGAGAATAAAATGTTAAAATTTGGTTGAAATAATGTTACATTGTCGTTCAGTGTAACACAATATTTATGTAAAAATTCAAACAACATGCTTATTCTGACGTGTACATATTAAAATATATAAAAGAATAAGGGAGCATATAAAATTTTATTGTGTTTTAAATGAGTAAAAAAGTCTTACTGACAAACAGGCAAAAGCTAGGATAGTGGCACATTTAAAAAATGTAAAATTACACCTAATTAGTATTTGGGGTGAAAGTAATGTCTTTTAATATGTCATAAATTGATTTTTGTTGTAAATACGCCTGACAAGATTGTTACACTGAATGACATTTTACTGAGTCTCTTCTGTAAATCAGGGAAAAATGTAAGATATTTATTTTTTGCTCAGAAAAAGAAAATTTCAATTAAATTAAACAGAAAACTTTTTTTTTTTTTTTGGGAAAAATAACAAAAATTTACACCACTATTACACTTATTGTTTTTATGCTTAAACCCTTTTTCGTCTTTGACCCATGTACTAAAAATTATATTGATTGATTGATAGCAGTGATTTTTGAAACACAAACAGAAGTAATGGCATTCATGCAGCATGTGATCAAGCTGAAAGCGTTTACAATCAGAGTTTACAAATTTCAGTGTCCCGATATTAAAAAGAATCACTCAAACCCCAAACGAAATATGGTGACCAAAAGCATAAGGTCTAAAGCAAACTTTTGACTCACCAAAAAAGGTGACTGCGAATCCCTCCAGAACACAAGCCCATCTCCCCAAGAAGAAATACCCGTGATAGTTGGTCAGAAAACTGATCGTTCCTCCGGTCAGAGACACGAGAAAGTCCGCCAGAGACAGATTGACGATGATATAATTGAGCGGCTGTCGGAGCTGCTTGAACCTGAAGGTGACCAGCATCACCGTGAAGTTCTCGCACAGAGACACCGCGGTCACCACGAACATCAGCGCCGCCAGCACTCTATAGTTCCAGGGCGCGATGGATGTGAGCGGTCCAGAGAACGGATCCTCGCTGCGAGAGACGCCGTTCACCGCCGCCTCAAACGACTCCATCGCTCCGGACGAGTCAGATGAACCGAACCGAACCTACATCTGGAGGAAGTCCGCGTGCATCGTAAACCCAGAGTGTTCGTCCTCTACATCAGCGGCATACTCCAGCGGACTTTATTGACTTTCTCTTGCTGGATGGGGTTTATATAGGCTACCATCACAGGTCAGGTCAACCACGTAACTGCGCCTTCATCATCATCATCATCGCGTCTGTGTGCAGAGCTCCAGTCAGTGCGCTCCTGCTTCAAGGAATCACTAGTTCCGAAGGTTTTTACGCAGACGCTCGCGTTCAGAAGATATGTGTTCCTGCAGCACAAAAGCAGTCTTAAGTCGCTGGGGTATATTTGTAGCAATAGCCAACAATACATTGTATGGGTCAAAATTATACATTTCTCTTTTATGCCAAAAATCATTAGGATATTAAGTAAAGATCATGTTCCGTGAAGATATTTTGTACATTTCCTACCGTAAATATATCAAAACTGAATTTTTGATTAGTAATATGCACTTCATTTGGACAACTTTAAAGGCGATTTTCTCAATATTTAGATTTTTTTGCACCCTCAGATTCCAGATTTTAGCTCTTAGCCAAATATTGTCCGATCCTAACAAACCATACATCAATGGAAAGCTTATTTATTCAGCTTTCCGATGATGCATACATCACAATTAAAAAAAAAAATTACCCTTATGACTGGTTTTGTGCTCCAGGGTCGCTTATGCTTTAGCGTCTCGTGCGTAATTCTGATGCACAGTCGCGCAAACTCCAGTCATTGAGCGCGCAAACGACGACTTTGCATCAGAAACGGGACTGCTAAGCGATTGTGCATTTCGTCGATTGTCTTTCTCAGTCCTTCTCTGCGGAATGAGTGGAGTGTGTGCAGAGGATCGATGCTGGAGACCCTGGAGAGCCGCTTTGATTCATCATCACAGTCTCCAGCTGCACCACGCATTAGTGCAGGTCAATAACGCGCAACCCGCTGATAGAGTTATGCATTTTAATTATAGTTATGCTATAGTTATTATAGTTATGCTAAAACTAAAACATAAAAAAACTGTTACTTAAAATAAAATAAAATAAGTTTCAAAGTTTTATTTCAGCTATTTGCCAAGGCAAACACATCATTTTTATCCACTTTAACTTGATTATTTAAAATAACTAAAACTACATACAACAAAAACACACAACAAAATATTGAAACTTTAACTAAAAGAAAAATGGGAAAACACACACACAAAAACCTTTCAAAATATACATTTTCATGTGTGAAAACTTCATAAAAATACTGTAATTTGCATGTTTTTAGCATTATCACAATTAATCGGTGAAGCATTAATACTCATAATCTGTTCAAAAGTATTTTTAGATATTGTTTGAGGATAAAAATCTCAAAGTTTTTGACCAAAAGATATTGTATTTAATGTAAACATCTATTGGCTGATGTAAATATTAGAAAGCAGAAAAAGTAATCTTGTAACAAAAATGTAACTTAAAGCAAAAACTAAAGCATTAAACATAAAATAGTAACGGAATCTTACATAAATGTTAACTGAAATTTTGATTTAATCCTCAATCAATGTCTAAAAATATTTTTACTGTACACATTATCAAGTGTGCGTTTTATATTATATATTATATTATAAACTTATTGTATTTCAGATAGTTCTCATTTTTATTTGGTGTAACTTGATGTACTAAAATAACTACAATTGAAATTAATAATGTTTTAAAAGAATACACAACAAAATTACTAAAACTTTAGCTAAAATTAAAATGAAAATGGAATGAATTCAAACTATTATTAAAACTAAAAGACACTGTAACACATACTTTAAAAACAAACGTTTTAGACACTGTTGAGGATCTCCGCTTATATGAATTTTTTTAGATTTAATCCTCAATCAATGTCTAAAAATATTTTTACTGTACACATTATCAGTGTGCGTGTGTTTTGTATTATATTATACACTTGCTGTATTTCAGATAGCTCTCATTTTTATTTGGTGTAATGATGTACTAGAATAACAACATTTAAAAATAATAATGTTTTAAAAAAAATACACAACAAAATTACTAAAACTAACTAAAATTAAAATGAAAATGGAATTAATTCAAACTATTATTAAAACTAAAAACACATACTTTAAAAGCAGAGGATCTCCTCATAGTAAAGTACAGTAATGCTGGAAAAACTGATTCCAGATCAGCATAAAACATTTCTCCGCTGTTAATTCAATTCAGGCTTCATAAATTTACCCAGAAGTTGTTTGGACCACAGAAGCGGAGGCTGTGTGAAGGACGACCCTGGTTTCGCTGGAGGAGCGACCGCGGCCCGCTTTGATCCGACAGCCGTCAGAGATGAAGATGTATTACCTGTGACGGACCTGCGGCTCGACTGCAGGTGTTCAGAGTCCAACCTTTAGAAGTTTAGTGTACAGAGGACAAATGAGAGAGATGCAGCCATCAAGTTTATATTACACAGTCCTTCACCTTAGTGGACAATGATTCAAGATTTCACCCTTAACCCTGTATTTTAGGCCGATATGAGACGGAAGAACCCTTGTGCATCACTCTTAGTCCCTTCACATGATCACATCTCCCTCCACAAACGCTCAATTCAGTTTAAATGTGCACTGCCAGTCAAAATATTTTGAACAGTAAGATTTTTAATGTTTTTTAAAGAAGTCTCTTCTGCTCACCGAGGCTGCATTTATTTGATCAAAAATACAGTAAAAATTGTAAATATTATTATAATCAAAAACAGCTGCTTTCTATGTGAATATGTGTTAAACTGTAATGTATTTCTGTGATGCGCAGCTGTATTTTCAGCATCATTACTCCAGTCTTCAGTGTCACATGATCTTCAGAAATCATTCTAATATGCTGATTTGCTGCTCAACACACATGTATGTTAAGCAGACATATGAGCATGTTGAGGATGCATGTCAGAAGTACGCTTATTTGTTTTGAATGTAGTTTACTTACAATTTTAAAAGTATGTTTTAAAAAAAAAAACTGTGCTTGTAGATAAAATTAATGAAATGAAAAGCCGCTTAAATGTATTTAAAGCGAGACACTTTCATCACTATGTTTCTAAAAACATTTTTAAAAAAGTGTACTTTGTAATTGTCATTAATTTGAAAGTACATTTAAATCAGGTTTAAATAATCTTTTGTCATGCTTTAAAGAAGTACGCTTATTTTGATGTGTTGACTAACATACTGAAGTACTGAAGCACATGGAAAGTACTTGATTATTATTTTAACTGTAGTGTGTTATTCAATACAAGACATACAATTTTAAATAGAAATGACATTAAAGTATATTTTAGTTTATTACAAATGCTTGTCAGTACATTTGTACACTTTAAACATTTCAAAGACAACTGAATTATGAAATGAAGTATACTTAAGTCCTACTTAAATGGGTCAAAAAGCAAAGTAAGCAATTTTAATTCAATTACAACTAACATGCATTAAAGTTTATATCGATCATTATATCCACAATATCTCCTGTCCAATAGAAATATGAGGATGCAAATGAAAAAAAAAAAGCAAATAAAAACTATAACATTACACCTAAAGAAATTCAACAAAATATATATATGTAACATGGCAGGATTATATATGTGTGTGTGTGTGTGTGTGAGTGTGTGTGAGTGAGTGAGTGAGTGAGTGAGTGAGTGAGTGAGTGAGTGTGTGTTTGTGTGTGTGTGAGTGTGTGTGTGTGTATATATACATATATATATATATATAAATACACAAAATATCAACTTTTTTTCAGCTAGCTGCCAACTAAGACTTAAATAAATTAATTAAAAAAAACTATATAGACGTATAAAAAAACAATATAAATACAACAAAACATTATTTAATTGCAACTAACAAGCCAAAAATTGTGGCTGAAAACAATATAAAGAAAAAAAAACATTTATATTTAATTGCATGTAACATGCAATAAAGTGTCCAAAAACATTACATTATTTTGCACTTGTATGTTTTCTGAAGTATTATTATTTCTGTAAAGACTCCTCTTTTTTTAAACTATGCTACAGTGTAGCTCTTTTTCCGCAGTGTTGTGATTCTCTCAGCATGTGTGCGTGTGTCTGACGCTGATCGTCACCCCGAACACTGACCTGTGCGATTGGTTTTCAGCCCATTCAACAGCCCAGAAAACACTCAGGATCGGAAGGGAATTTGCAGGAGTTACTGAGAAACGCAGGCAAAACTCAGAGAAGCAGGAGAAGAGTTATTTCACAAACGTGAGGCGTATTGTCAGCGTCAGCAAGGAAAAGGCCAGAGAAGACGTTTAACAGCACCGTCTCTCAAAGCGTCCGATCTGAACGGGGTGAAAAGGTCAGACGTCCATGTTTAGGAAATATTTGATGTGAATCTTTGTCAGCTACATGCACCCTCACACGAAAATATTTCTGCTAATAAACATTTCTTTCTCATTACACCTTCACTTTAATGCTCATTTGTGCTATTTTAGCTATTAATATACTACTAGTTATACTTCATATTCTGAATTAGATTTTATATTTATATTTTCTGTTTTCACTTTAGTTTTAGTTAAAATTGTAGTAATTTTGCTGTTTTAGTACTAAATGGGAAATGTTGTCTTGGCAACTAGCAAGTTTTTCTTATATTTTATTTTATTTCAGATAACATTTATGTTATTTCAAGCAAAAAAAAGTATGAACCACGTTTTAATATAAAAAAATACACTTCAGCATACACTTAAACAGATGGTTAAGTTATTATGTTAATAAGTTATTTTTATTTATTATAGAAAGAAATGCGCTTTAAAAGAATATACTTCACTGCAAAGTGATTGTAATGTTTTTAGACACTTTATTGCATGTTAGTTGCAATTAAATTCAAATGTATTATAGTTTAAATTTATATTAAATGTTGTTATTTTTAACTTCCTTTCTGACATATTTAAGTAGGACTTAAGTACATCTTTATATGTAATTTCATAATCCTATTGTATTTGAAAA